AGGAGTTCGTCGGGCTGCCCCGCCTACATCCTGACAGCCAATGTTTGCCAGCGGGCGCCCGGCACACAGAAGATCTGCATTAAAAGAGCCGCGGCTTGCCGACCCTATTGCCTGTCACCTGGTGGGCAGTGTGCTCCGGAGCCACAGGAAAGGTGAAAAAGAGCCGCCTGCGGAGCCGCGGGTTGCCGACACCCGGTCTATAGGAAAAAAAGGAGCACAAGGAGATATATAGGCCCAGAAAATAAAACGGTTAGGAAGGAAAGTGTGGGGTGTGTAGGAAGGGCATCAGTCTAGTGACAGTCCATACGATCTTTTTAAACCATCTCTTTTAAATATCTGCGTTTTTAGATAATTTGGTGTAAAAGGAATCTAAGAAAGGATATTTATTCCAGACGTGTGCATAAGGAAATCTGCTTTTAAAGTGTTATTAAAACACAGCTGAATCAAAATATACACGTACAAACAAATGATGCAAAAATGACCATATCTTAGGTTAAAAATAAGGTGCCACATCCAAATAAAAATGTATCCAAAAACTGGGAACCAAAGATTCCATTAAGGGGGAATGTTAAGGTACCATACAGTTATAGGCAGCAAAAACAGAAAACCGTAAAAATACATATACTGATCATAATTCATCATTAAAATCATACAAATATGCATCTTTTCACAGTGACATGGTCTCTTCCTGTCACAATAGGTACAGTGAAGGAAGTATTTGATCCCCTGTTGATTTTGAATGTTTGCCCGCTCACAAAGACATGATCAGCCTAAAATTCGAATGGTAGGAGTACTGTAACAGACAGAATAGCAACAAAAAATTAAAAAGAAATTCATGTCTAAAATGATGCACTGATTTGCATGTTCATGAGGGAAATAAGTATTTGATCCCCTTCACAAAACATGACTTAGTACTTGGTGGCAAATCCCTTGTTGGCAATCAGAGGTCAGACGTTTCCTGTACTTGGCCACCAGGTTTTCACATATCTCAGGAGGGATTTTGGCCCACTCCTCTTGGCAGATCCTCTCCCAAGTCATTAAGGTTTGGTGGCTGACATTTGGCAACTCTAACTTTCAGTTCCCTCCACAGATTTTCAAATTGGATTAAGGTCTGGAGACTGGCTAGGCCACTCCAGGACCTTAATGTGCTTCTTCTTGAGCCACTCCTTTGTTGCCTTGGTTGTGTGTTTCGGGTCATTGTCATGCTGGAACACCCTTCCACGACCCATTTTCAATGCCCTGGCTGAGGAAAGAAGGTTCTCACCCAAGATTTGACAGTACATTGCCCATTCATCATCCCCTTGGTGCAGTTGTCCTGTCCCCTTAGCAGAAAAACACCCCCAAAGCAGAATGTTTCCACCACGTTTGACAGTTGGGATGGTGTTCTTTAGGTCATAGGCAGCATTCCTTCTCCAAACAAGGCAAGTTGAGTTGATACCAAAGAGCTCGATTTTGGTCTCATCTGACCACAACACTTTCAACCAGTCCTCCTCTGTATCATTCAGATGTTCAGTGGCAAACTTCAGACAGGCCTGGACATGTGCTTTCTTGAGCAGAGGGACCTTGCGGGCACTGCAGGATTTCAAACCTTCTCGACGTAGTGTGTTACCAATTGTTTTCTTGGTGCCTGTGGTCCCAGCTGGTTGGTGATCATTGACAAGATCCTCACATGTAGTTCTGGGATGATTCCTCACTATTCTCATAATCATTGACACTCCACAAGGTGAGATCTTGCATGGTGCACCAGACCTAGGGAGACTGACAGTTGTTTTTTCCATTTGCGAATGATTGCACCAACTGTTGTCACCTTCTCAGCAAGCTGCTTGGCGATAGTTTGGTAGCCCAGTCCAGCCTTGGGTAGGTCTACAATCTTGTCCCTGATATCCTTGGACAGCTCTTTACCATGGTAGAGAGTTTGGAATCTCATTGTTTGATTGCTCCAGTGGATGTGTCTTTTATACAGGTAACAAAAATGAGATTGGCAGCACTCCCTTTAAGAGACTGCTTCTAATCTCAGCTTGTTGTATGAGAAAGACCAGAAATCCTGCTGAATGATAGGGGATCAAATACTTATTTCCCTCATGAACATGCAATTCAGTGCATAATTTGTGAGACATGCATTTCTTTTGATTTTTTTGTTGCTATTCTGTCTCTCGGTGTTTCAATACACCATTTGATTTTTAGACTGATCATTTCTTTGTAAGTGGGCAAACATTCAAAATGAGCAGGGGATCAAATACTTATATCCTTTACTGTACATGTATTGGGATTGATTTTTTTTTTACAATACATTTTAGCCTAAATTTATTACTAACCAAGTTTATTGGATTTTTTTTTTTTTTATAACTGAAAGCAGAAAATCTTTCAAAAATGTTGGTCTTTTCGTTTATATCACAAAAAATGAGGGGGAGGAAAAAAAACAAAAACAAAACCACACCGTGGCAATAAAATACCACCAAAAAAGCTATTTGTGTGAAAAAAGTACATACATTTCAGTTGGGTTCAGTGTTGCATTACCACGCAATTACCAGTTGAAAGTGCAGTGCAGAATAGCAAAAAAAATGGCCTGGTCAGGAAAGGGGTTAAATCTTCCAGGATGGAAAGTGCTTAACAGTTTAGTTTTCCTTTACAAACATGTATGTCCTTCGCTACTCCTTACATTTTTTACTGTACCCCCACATCAGACTGGTTAGATCAAGCCCTGCTCTGAATTAAGCAGTAGATTGATTACAGGTATGTGAACAGTATTTTTATGCCTGTACGGTTTTCCTGCAGGGAGAGGTTTGTGGTGGACAATGTGTGCCTTGCAATGTAGGTAGAGTCAGGTCCATAAATATTGGGACATCGATACAGAGCTAACATTTTTGGCTCTATACACCACCACAATGGATTTGAAATGAAACAAACAAGATGTGCTTTAACTGCAGACTGTGAGCTTTAATTTGAGGGTATTTACATCCAAATCAGGTGAACGGTGTAGGAATTACAACAGTTTGCATATGTGCCTCCCACTTAAGGGACCAAAAGTAATGGGACAGAATAATAATCATAAATCAAACTTTCACTTTTTAATAATTGGTTGCAAATCCTTTGCAGTCAATTACAGCCTGAAGTCTGGAACGCATAGACATCACCAGACGCTGGGTTTCATCCCTGGTGATGCTCTGCCAGGCCTCTACTGCAACGGTCTTCAGTTCCTGCTTGTTCTTGGGGCATTTTCCCTTCAGTTTTGTCTTCAGCAAGTGAAATGCATGCTCAATCGGATTCAGGTCAGGTGATTGACTTGGCCATTGCATAACATTCCACTTCTTTCCCTTAAACTCTTTGGTTGCTTTTGCAGTATGCTTTAGGTCATTGTCCATCTGCACTGTGAAGCGGCGTCCAATGAGTTTGTGTATATGTGTGCGTGTATATGAATTTGGCTGTGTTGTATCTTTAGGTCAGTGCTTTTATTAGTATGCATTTTATTATAGTTTTGTTCTCTGGGGTTGTTGGGTGGGTTGCAGCCTCAGTCCCCTCCCAGTATTTTGACACCCTGCCTTTGGTTGGGAAGGTGTTACTGATCCCGTGCTAAAGATGCCAGGGTTCAATGTAAAATATGTGATTAAAACTGAATACGTTTGTGAGAAATATGAATGGTATTACTTTATCTGATTCTATATATTCCCCCATATTTTGACCATGAAGCAGCAGTCTCTGCTGTGAAATGCATTAACATGGATTTATGAAGTCACACAACACTAAGGAGATATAGTGAATTCTCACCACATAGCCCATGTACAGACTCGTGTGTTAAAGTGCTGCATTGATAATTACCTATGAGAACGCAGAATGCAATTTTGTATTTTAATTGTGATGCAAAATATAAAATTTTCTTAATTGTTTCTGGTGCCTGTAACTGCAGTGCCTTGAAAGTCTCCCTTAGAAGCTTTGCTTCCCTATGATTGATATATTAATCTACACGCAGTTTCTATGGCGTGTTTATTATGACTACAGTCTCTTCCTTCCCGCCATGTATGCGGTTTCACAGTCCCGAGTCCAGTGGGTGTTCACAATACAAGCCAAGTCTCTATGGAGTCACCGCATCATGCAAACTGCCTTCCCAGCACTACACTGGTCCTGCTGTTCTGTGCGCAGGCACACAGGGCAGTCGATCCTGTGAAGGAAGGAACAGCAGAAACTGATTGCTGGTCACATTGAGTTCATTACAACATGTAGCCCTGCCAACCAACTCATCCTTTAGCAATACAGAATTTGACAGACTGGGCACAACCCATTTTGGACTGAGACTTTTTTTTTACCTAGGCTGCAAAGGGAAGACCAGGGTATCTTTACAAAAAAGTGCAGAGTGGAGTGAGGTCAGCCCCCAGACTCTACCCTTGAACACCTTAGTGTAAAAATAAAGTACTCAACTGGTGGAACTCACCCCTTCTGGAACCACTGTCTACCCAGAGAACTGCACATGGGGTGCAGCAATGGCTCCTATCCACATGGCATCATCTTCTCTTCCTCTTACATTGTTCACAGGATTTGAAACAGGAGCTTCAGGGAAACTACACTGCCTGGAAGTAACTCCCAGCATCTTCTAGTCAGAACGTAGCAAAATACAACCATGTAAGGGTCCACCTGTCAGCTGAATGTAGGTGGTGAGGAGCGAAGAAAAAAAAAAAAAAAAAAAAAAAAAAAAAAAAAAAAAAAACAAAAAAAAAAAAAAAAACAAAAAAAAAAAAAACACAAAAAAAAAAAAAAAACACAACTTGCCTACTATGAAAGAGCTGACTTTCTGGAAAGGAGAGCCCCCTGAAGATCAGGCAGGGTGGGAGACTGGAGACCCTACCACAAGAGTCCCAAAGCAACACATCTGCTATGGTTGTGAAAAGTGGAGAACATCATACTTTACACCAAGTCGCAGCCAGCTAGTAAAGACACCAGAGACACTACATTTAGCATCAATAGATTTATTTTATGAGATTCTTGTAGAAAATTGCAGGAAGCCCAGTTTAGCTGTCGGCAATCTTCTCCTGAGCTCTGAGAAAGCTTGCTTTTTTCTGAGCAATGCGGTCTTTCTTCTGTGCCAGGGACAATTTGGCACGATTCCACCTGAAACAAGTCAAAAGGAAAATCCCATTCAGTAAATTCTAATCACCACGACTTATCTGAACACAATAGCCTGCAATATTTTAACAACTTAGGAGACCCTTAACTGTATGATGAAATAGAAAAGCAATAGTTTGCAACATACCTGCTCTGAACTACCAGTGAACAAATCCATGCCAGTTTTGTCTCATAATAAAGGTTTTTGTGAATGGGCCATGTAATGATGAATTAATAAGCAGTACAAACTTTGCTAGGTTGCTGCTGATAGTAATGCATAGTAAAGGGAATCCCCCCCCCCCCCCCCCCCCCTCCAATGTACATGTAACGAGTTATTCAGTTAAGTACAGTGCACACACGGTTAAGTTTTCATTCAACCCAGCAGGATGAACGAAAAAAAAACTGAGATGTCACTGTACTAACTATGGAATGTTAGTGTGGTAATATCCCCCACTGTGCTATTGTGCTCTGATGGGGACTGCCCCCCCACCAAAACACAATGATCAGCGATCACAGCCACTGGCTGCCAGTGCTGATCAGATGCTGGTTTTCAAGCATGCCTGTTTGACAGAAGCCAGTTGTAAGACTGGCTTCTGTTGGTCAGGCAACTGTACACATGGTCCAATTGTTGGCCAGTACCTGCTGAACCAGCCGATATTTGGATCGTGTGTACCCAGCATTAGTTTCTACCAAACCACCCAATCAGGAATCCAATACAGAAAACAAGTGAATTTGAGCTCACCATACCCTATACCACTTCTAGCACTACTCAAGGTGCTGTGTTAGATTTGGTGTCTTGCAGCAATACAAGGGTGCAGGCTGGGTTATGCCTAATCCAGAAAGCAAGGATGAGAGACGCCACACACCACTAGCTCAAAAAGTGAAAGATCTATAACCAAGTTCCAATGGGCAGGGCTCAGGAAGAGCTTGAGGCAGTTCATATTTCCTCCCACTTATTGAGCTAGTAGGGGTCTCTCATCCCTTCATAATGCCCTACTAGTGAATTCAAGATTTAGCAACCCCACCAGAAACCTCCATTTAACATTGTAGTGTATGCATGTAATAAGAATTGGCTACAATTTAACCAGTTTGGCTCTGAAGCCTTTTTCACATTTCAGCTATCTATGCCCCTATTCTACAATAGCAACTTACAATACTGAAATTCTTTTACTGGGGAGGGGCTTGAGTGGGTGAAAATAAAAGTTGTCATTGTCTGTAAAGGGTCATTTATTTTGTGTATTATAACTACTAAACACCAACACCCCCTAACTCTTAAAGCAGAGTTCCAGTGAAAATAAGTCAGCAGCAACAAATAACCGTGGGTAGCGCAGCAGAAACCTGTCAATATTGGGTACCTGCTCCCTTCCCCCCCTAAAAAGTGCCAATCTTTAATGGGGAGTGGGGGACCAGTCCTTAAAGCAGAACTTCCCTATTGGATGAAGCTCTGCTTTAAGTTTAAAAAACCCCAACTAAATATGCATACAGTCAAATGGAAAAAAATTGCCAAGAAGAACAAAGAACAGAGTTAATTAGGCCTATTTTGGTATAAGGGGCTAATCAGAAAGAGGGGTTTAAAGAAAAAAAAAAAAAAAACAAAAAAAAACAAAACACTATTTTACTTTCAAGTTTGCTTCAGCAACTACTAGTAAATAAACAAAGAATATACAGCAATCACTCTGGACAGATGCAGTTAACAAGTAGTGCAACATTCTGCTCATCTGTGCCCCAAAACTGCTACAGGTTGAGTCCTGCCTGCCGCACTGGCACAGACCTACTTATTGCTGCCACAAAGCGCTTTCAGTCTGGCTCTAAATTAACAAGCTACATCATAGGTTCTTAACAGATTTCACCACTGCTAGTTTAATCTTTATATTCCCTTCCCTCAAAATGACCAAATGCTAGGTTCTGAACAGTACCCAGTGCAGTACCTGCAGTCTGAAATGTTTTTAGGTGATGGAGGAAGGTGTGGGAGAAGGAAAACCTCATCACTGACTTCGTAATGAGAATGGTTATGAAGTTACAATAGTGAACAGTAGTTTCCCCATGCTGGCGATGGAGTGTGGCAGGGCATGTAGATCACTGGTAGCTAGTCAGTTAAAGCAGAAGTCCTGATACATACCTCTCCTTTAATCATCTGACCTCCCTTTGCTGGCACCATCTACCTGGCTTCTCCGGGTGCTGGACTGCTTTCATGGGCCGATGCAGAATGAGTTCAGTCTTCCTGGAGCACAGGCACTGTGCCAGATTGTAACTGAGCTGTGCTTGCAAAGACTGCGAGCAAGCAGGTAGGTTATATTGCAGAAGAGACCTTGCAAATTTCTTTTGCAATAAACAGACTGCCTTCTTGCAGTATTTAAAGTGGTATTAAGTCAGATTTTTTACTTCTACCTACAGGTGAGCCTATAATAAGGCTTACCTAAAGGTACAGTAAATCTCCCATAAATGTGCAATTTAGGAGATATTTAGTAGCAATGCGCACTGTGCTTTCAATGAATGGTGGCATGTCTGACTCTTGTGAGCATGGAGGGACGTTACTGAAACTTGGCTATTCAAACAGCCGAAGCCCCCAAACCCTGAAGGAAAAGTAGGTGAAGATGCAAGCCCCGGCAACAGTGACCGCACACCACTGGAGGGCTTAGTTGTAATGCTAGTATGCGGTGCTTACTAACATCCTGCAAAAGTCCAAAATTTTTTTTGCAGTCTATTACCACCTATTAAGTCTGGGACTTTAGTTCCGTTTTAAATGTTTTGGCGGGCATGACCACAAAATCTTTTTCAAGACAAAAAATCACATTAAAGCATACCATATTAAGCCCAATAGCAAACCCCTGTGTAATTTTTCACCAAAAAGACATACCAAGATGATGCAAGACGATCTTGGCATCAAAGGGCACACTGGCACTAGATTCAATTAAGTTTGCAATGCAGGTAAAAAGTGAACATTGAAAATATCCTGCATATTGCCAACCTTGCATTCAAATCAAATGAAAGAATCAAAAAGCATCTATCTGGAAACATGTGGTCATGCATTTATTCTCAAGACATAGCAAGGTGCCCCAAAGATTTTGAGGCTTGTTTTACACCAGCTTACCTCTTCTTTTTGACTTCTCTTTTGGGCTTCTTTTCGTGGACTGGGTTTTCCCTGATTGCAGCATGAGCCTTTTTGAATATGTCTTCCATCTGAGGGGAGGGAAGAAAACTACATAAATACATTATGAAAATCAGTATTACCCTACAGAAATGAATGAAGACTACTGCTATCCAGTTATGTGTTCACCTGCTCCTTTGAGTGAAGTGTTTTTGAAACACTATTCTTTGTCACTCCATGTAAAAACTTTACAAGCCACAAGGCCCTTGTCTGTTAAATCAAGACTATTGCCTACGACTAGTTGTCTTCCGGGTTCTGATCTTCAGGAGTCATGACTGGCCAGGCCAAGGTGTCCTCCCACACATGTGCAGGAGGGACGTAATCTCAGCAGATGTCAGAATTGTACACAGAGCAGCTCTGTGTACACTCTGAACAGGCAGGCAAGAATACTTTAATGCAGCAGAGACATCTCTATTAAGCCTGCATGTTCAAATTTCAAGCTCCATTTTAAAGTGGTTCTAAAGGCTTTTATTTACCTTTATTCTGCATTCTATGAATGAAGGCTACAAACCACCTGTGTTGAGCTTCCCCCCTCAGCCCCCCCAAATACTTGGGCTGCTTTCACACTGATTTGCCTCAAAAACACTTGAAAAATGACTAGATCAAGGCCCCCCCTATGTGAATGAGTATGGGGTACATGGTACCGCTATCGATTCACAAAAAAAAAAAAAAAAAAAAAAACCTGAAACAAAGAAAACTGTAGTGTGAAAAAAAAAAAAAAAAAAAAAAAAAAAAAAAAAAAAAAAAAAAAAAAAAAAAAAAAAGACAGGAGAGAGTCTTTGACAAGGCCTTTATTAAGAGAAGAAAAATAAAAGAATGCCAGCTGACCGGAGGGAAGAAAAAAAAAAAAAAAAAAAAAAAAAAAAAAAAAAAGACACTGACCCAGCATGCCCTGGTCAATTAGTCACCAGGTGCCCCCACCCCTTACATATTTAAAAACTGCCAAGCCATCGGAGCAGTCAGAGAGGCGGGAGTCAGCGTTGGGAGCTTTTTTTCCCAGTCGGTGGAGTGCATCGTATTTGACGTTGGATCTACTGCTTCGGGGGACACTCTTATTTTCCTTCTTTTAATAAACGACTTGTCAAAGACTGTCTTTTATCATACTGCAGTTTTTTTTTTTGTGAATGGGTAGCCCATCAACACGCTTGCTCCCCCCCCCCCCCCCCCCCCCCCCCCCCCACTTTCCTTACCTGCTGGGTTGCATGCTTGGATAAGGGTCTGGTATGGATTTTGGGGGAGAACCCACGCCAATTTTTTTTTTTGGCGTGGAGGTTCCCCTCAAAATCCATACCAGACCCAAAGACGACACCCCACTCCATTTTTAAAATAATTTTTTAAGTCTCTTACATTCAGCTTTCAGAGGGGAAGCCCGCTGACAGCTGAAACAGCCAGACCTTCCCACATGTGTGGTGCGTTTTTGGAGCAGTTTTAAGCGGTTTTGAGGTGGTTACCACTAATTTCAATGGGAAGAGGGGTTTGAGGCTTTTTTTTTTTTTTTTTTTTTTTTTTTTTTTTTTTTTTAACTCCCCAAATGTGCTGTAAAGATGCTGAAAGCAGGAGTTTTTACATCGCACCACAACACCTCAGTGTGAAAACATACATAGATATACAGTGAAGGAAATAAGCATTTGATCACCTGCTGATTCTGAATGTTTGCCCACTCACAAAGAAATGATCAGTCTAAAAATCAAATGGTAGGTGTATTGTAAAACAGAGACAGAACAGCAACAAAAAAATTCTAAAGAAATGAATGTCTAATAAATTACACACTGATTTGCATGTTCATGAAGGAAAGAATTATTTGATCCCTTTCACAAATACATGACTTAGTATTGGTGGCAAATCCCTTGTTGGCAATCACAGCGGTCAGACGTTTCCTATAGCTGGCCACCAGCTTTGCACACATCTCAGGAGGAATTTTGGCAAACTCCTCTTGGCAGATCCTCTCCAAGGTTTGGTGGCTGATGTTTAGCAACTCAAACTTTCAGCTCCCTCCACACATTTTCAATCGGATTAAGGTCTGGAGACTGGCTAGGTAACTCCAGGACCTTAATGTGCTACTTTTTGAGCCACTCTTGTTGCCTTGGACCTGTGTTTTGGGTCATTGGCATGCTGGAACACCCATCCACAACCACCAAATTTTCATTGCCCTGGCTGAGGGAAGAAGGTTCTCCCCTAAGATTTGATGGTACATTGCCCCGTCCATCGTCCCTTTGATCTGGTGCAGTTGTCCTGTCACCTGAGCAGAAAAACACCCCCAAAGCAGAATGTGTCCACCACTACGTTTGACAGTTGAGATGGTGTTCTTGGGGTCATAAGCAGCATTCCTCCTCCAAACACGACTAGTTGAGTTGATGCCAAAGAGCTCAAATTTTGGTCTCATCTGACCTCAACACTTTCAACCAGTCCTCTGCATCATTCAGATATTCAGTGACAAACTTCAGGATGGGCCTCTACATGTGCTTTCTTGAGCAGAGGGACCTTGCGGGCACTGCAGGATTTCAATCCTTGTCGGCGTAGTGTGTTACCAATTGTTTTCTTGGTGACTGTGGTCCCAGCTGCCTGGAGATCATTGACAAGATCCTCACGTGTAGTTCTGGGATGGTTCCTCACTGTTCTCATGATCATTGACACTCCACGAGGTGAGATCTTGTATGGTGCACCAGACCTAGGGAGACTGACAGTTTTGTGTTTCTTCCATTTGCGAATGATTGCACCAACTGTTGTCACCTTCTCACCAAGCTGCTTGGCGATAGTTTGGTAGCCCAGTCCAGCCTTGTGTAAGTCTACAATCTTGTCCCTGACATCCTTGGACAGCTGTTTGGTCTTTGCCATGGTGTTGAGTTTGGAATTTGATTGTTTGATTGCTCCTGTGGACAGGTGCCTTTTAGACAGGTAACAAAATGAGATTAGCAGCACTCCCTTTAAGAGACTGCTTCTAATCTCAGCTTGTTACCTGTATGAAAGACACCTGGTAGCCAGAAATCCTGCTGAATGATAGGGGATCAAATACGTATTTCCCTCATGAATATGCAAATCAGTGCATACTTTGTTAGAATAGCAACAAAACATTCAAAAGAAATGCATGTCTGTCTCTCAGTGTTACAATACACCTACCATTTGATTTTTAGACTGATCATTTCTTTGTGAGTGGGCAAACATTCAAAACCAGCAGGGGATAAAATACTTATTTCCTTAAGTGTACATTCACATACATAGCGAAGCATTTTTCTTGAGCTTTTCAGGAATTTTTTACACGCAAAAACGCTTCCAAACCACCTTAGTGTGAAAGCAGCTTTACATGAGCCCCTTCTCGATCCAGCGATGTGCACAAGAGCAGCTGGGTCTCCCAGGTCTCTGCCTCATTGAGAGGCAGCAGTGGAACCATTGGGTCCCACTGCTGTCAATCACAGCCAGTGAGCTAATGAGGAGAGAGCCAGAAACCTGCAGTGAGTGTGTGAGAAAGCTAACTTGCATGCAAGTGTTCCGGAAATGACCAAAATGCCAACAAAAGGTGGTTCAAGTATGTGCTGCCGAGTCTCCACTGAGGCTTGGAAGAAGTTATATGGCATTTCCTTTAAGTCATATGGTGACCATGCCAAAAAGCTCCAGTAATATGTAGCCACACCAGCTCATAAGAGAGGACAGGAGGCCAACTCTACCTGGCTCAGGGCTGCTGCCTGTACAGGTTTAGTCTAGAACAGGGGTGGGCAAACTTTTTGACTTGAGGGCCGCAATAGGTTCATATATTGGACCCGGGGGCCGGACCAAGAGTAGATGAATGATGTGTATGTGTCATTCATAGTAAGTATAGTAATATTCCCCCACAGTAAGCATAGTAATTCATCCCCCATAGTAATTCATCCCCCATATAGTAATTCATCCCCCATATTAAGTCCCCAAGTCCCCCCTGTGTCAATTCACTTACCTTTGCTCCGCGCGTTCCTCTCGTCGTTCCGGTGTAGCATGAAAATCTGTCTCCTATGAGGATCTGTCCCCCTCGACGTATCTGCGCATGTGCCAGTTTCAGGCATTAGCAGCCGATCGGCGATCTCCGGCACATGCGCAGATACGTCGAGGGGGACAGATCCTCATAGGAGACAGATTTTCATGCTACACCGGTCTTCAGGGCGGACTGTGAAAGGAGCCTAGCGGGAGCCTAGCTCCGCGGGCCGGATTAAAAGGTCCGCCGGGCCGTATACGGCCCGCGGGCCGTAGTTTGCCCATTGCTGGTCTAGAACTACAACTGAACTAGATCAGCAGTAGTCACATTGCCAAAAGTAGGCGCAACACACCTCATCTGACATTTTAATTCAGATTACATTGTTAAAGTGTCACTAAACCCACAACAGTAAAATCAGTCTGTATAATATGCTCATTATACTCACTGTGGACCTTAAGGGTCTGCACTGTGTAAAGGATGTTTGATCCTGTCTTCCCTGTTCCCTATTTCATCTCCTGATAGAACACAGCCTCAGGGGCACTCTGCACATGCTCAGATTGGTGTATATTGCTAGATTTTTTTTTTGTTCTTGGGAGAGTGCATGTGATCAGCACAGGGCCAATCAGCACTGTCCAGACAGAGGGTCAGGGGTTATGCAATCTCACAGGGAAGTGAGAGGAGAATGAAAATTCCTCCTACAAGGTTTAACCAGTGCTGAGCTGGACACTGATAGAAGTCACAAGACTGCTCTAACTGCTGCTGAGAAAAGGTATTTAGCAGTTTATATTTACTATAGTAATTGCACTTCCATGTTGTGTGTACTGTGGGAGCCCAGATATAGTGAACGCAGGGTCCGGGGTTTAGTAACACTAAGCTCTAACACTATGGGTCACAAAGATCACACAGCAGGCAGTATGAAAGTGCTCAGATGAAGCAATCCTTTTAGAGCACGATTAAGGTACCTTAATAAAAACCTCCAGGAATCTAAGCTTTTGCACAGGGTTACTTACTTGGTCAGCTGTGACACCATTCTTTATATACCGGGAGAACTGTTTCTTGTATGCGTCCTCATCTTCCTCTATTAGAAGGCGCATGTAGTCCGCCACATTCTGGCCCAGGATGTGTTTGCGGTGGACTTCTGAGTTGAATTCTTTGCTCTCTGAGTCATAGCCAGGGAAGCGTTTGGTGCTAAAAAAAAAAAAAAAAAAAAAAAAAGTTTCCAAATACAAAGATCAGACTACTGTATGGCTAAACTAAAACAAAAATGTATTGCTACCACAGAAGGGTGACTTACCCGTGTGTGATGGCATTCAGCAGGTATCTCTAAGACCACCTATGTCCCCCCTACCCTCTTCTCTATTGCGCACAGCATCGCCTGATCTATCCTGTGGGGATTGTCTTTCTTTACAACTTACCTTTTTGTGGAGCAGTTCCGGTGTCCTGCGGGGATCGTCGGCATGCAACCTATACGGGGTGACAGTGTAGCGGCAAGATTTGTCTCCCATGTAGATATGTCCCTCATGAAGCAACTGCGCATGTCCAGGTTTCAGACATAAGAAGCCGATCACCAACTGTAGAAACCGGGACATGCGCAGTTGATCAGGGGGACATATCTACATGGGATACATCTTGCCGCTACACCAGACCCGCGCCAAGAAAAGGTAAGTTGTAAAGAAAGCAGACGATCCCCGCAGGATGGATCGGATCTGCGGATTGAGCATAATGGATTGGAGTCTGATCCATTATGCTCAATCTGCATATCCAATCTATTCTGCGGGGATCGTCGGAGGGGGTGTCACCAAGTGTTATTGCACCGGGTGACACCAACCCCAGGGACGCCTATGGGTAGAACACAATGATTGCTAGCAGCTATAGCCACCAGCAGTAATTACAAGTAAAAAAATATTGCTGGGACTATTTGTTTCAACCTCCTATCTGTAGACTTTTACTAAAATTAGATCTTTTTAGGTTGATAGTTTTCACACATTTACAGCAATAATCCTTCACAGCAACAGGCAATTGTTTATTAGGAGAAATGACTTTTTTGCCTAATCACAGGCAATTTCCAGTCATAAGAAACTACAGCAAAATTGCATGTAGTTCAAAGCTTAGAGCCGTGATTGTCAACTTATGAGCTAAAGGGAGCCTCAAAATGCAGCCCTGTCAAACTGCAGACCTAATAGGAAATGAGGATCAGAATGCGAGGACAGGATACATTTGCGGCTGGGGATATGCTGCAGAAGACAATACGAAACGGGGAACATGTTACATATGGTTAGCAGAGATCAAGGCTATTAACCAAATCAAATGTTCCCACTATAGACTGCGGATGTCGAGGGCAGCAGGTTGGGCAACAGAGCAGAGACTACAGGGTTAGACAAGTTGCTATTGCCAATCCAATGTACAGTGCATGTATAGCTTCCTTTTCTGGAGCTCAAAAGCCAGGAAACACCTCTAAAAAGGGATAATCCTGCAAACTGTGACCCTGTGTGCCTTACAGCTTTTCCAGGCAACACATTAATTGCCATGAGAATGTTTAATCTACTGAATATCATAGCATACTGCGGCCTTAGATTGCCACTAACCTTGTGGCAGCCTTCATTGTGGGTACTCAACATACACATCTTGATTCACAAGTGAACACTCAATTTCACACAAGGCCTCATATCCCAAGGGCCTAAACAGAGATCCCAGCAGACTATTTTTATACTGAATTTGTATACTGCTATTAGCAATTTTTCACATTTCCATCACTTGCCTACATGATACTTAAAGTAACATGACCTACTGTTTTATACATTGAAATACCAGGCTAACTAATCATCTGAAAGCCTGTCCCTAAATCTAAATTCAGGCATTCCTTGTGCATTTTCATACATGAATGGTACGAGTATGCACTATGACAATTTTAAAGATTTTACCCAAAACAGCTCTGCATTTTGGTTTTGTAAAGGAAATGTCAAAACCCATTAGCTTTGAAGCCCTGTTAAAATCAAATTCCTGCCTAACACCATGATTAACCATTTCCCACCTGTAGGATGTTATATGGGGTCTTGGACTTTCAGTGGTTGCACTGGGATGCCTGCAGCTTCAACGATTCCCTCTAAAGTAAAAGCCATCCTAACTGCCAATTAGCTGCTGAATTGCTTTTACAGGCAGTGGAAAGGGGACGTCCCCTCCCTCCCACCATCTTTCCCGTGCAATCAACCAGAGAGCTGTCTCCATATAGGAGGACCTGTCTTGCCTCCTTCCAACACAAGTGATGTTTTCATTTCTTGGGATAGAAATAAGGGTGCAAAAAAAAAAAAAAAGAAAAAAAAAAAGAAGGAGGAGGGAAGAACAGTGTAAAAATAAAGTCTAAAATATATAAGCACCCCCATTACCCATGCTTGCATGCAGCAGAAAACACATGCATAGGTTGCGCCCACATATTTAAGTGGTGTTTGCACCACGTGCGGTATCGCCACGAACATTCTTGCGTGAAACTGCCTCTAAACACTAAACTGGTAACTTGTAAAAATGTTTAAAGTGTTGCTTATGGAGATTTTAGTACGGTAGTTTGACGCCATTCCACGAGTGTGCGCAAGCGTGACATGTAAGGCATTTACTCGATGCATCTTATATTTAAAAAAAAAAAAAAATTATATAAAAAGGTTTTTTTTTTTTTTTTTTTATTAAAATTCATTAAAGTATCTTTTCCACAAAAAAAAAATAATAAAAAAGGGACATTTTTAAACAGTATGTTAGGTAGGAATTCTGCTTTAAGCCTGAATCATGAGCAGTTCATAAGGTGGAGTTCTGGCACTTCCTGGCAATGTTAAAGTTTACCGAACCTAAACTCATTCCTACTGGCTAGTGAGGTGGCCCACCATAGTAAAGAGCAAAAAGAATTTGTGGATGTGCATGAACGTTTCGGCCTTTCTCAGAAGGGCCACATAATTTCCAGTCAGAATGTTATGACATTCCTGTGAAATGTCAGGGCTTGGAGACCACCTGCACTTTATGCCCAAAAGCAATTTCACCCTGCCCCAGCATTCACTGTGAAAGTGCTAGAGCCACTTAGCAACCCAAAACAGGTTTTAAACATGGGTCTTATGTTAGACAATAGTTATGGGGTTTATGAAAGACCAACAACTGCAAGCCAAGAAAAAGTCAGAGCAGTTTCCCCCTGCCAGGCTTGGACAGCAACCCAAGGGTGGTTCTAACCCTGCTGGACACAACCAAAAACCTAAAATGTTTTAACAACTCCTTTAGAAATAGCCAATGAAGAAAATTTACACACTTTTCAAAAGAATCAATAAACATTGTTTCTTGATGGACCTCTCCTATTTAGTGTAGCTGAATATTACAAACTTTCAACTGTGGAAACACAGCAAAGCTGAAAAGCCAAGGCACCACCAGTCAGTCATACATTTATTATTATTATTATACAGGATTTATATAGCGCCAACAGTTTGCTCAGCGCTTTACAATATAACGGGAGACAATACAGCAACAACACAGTTCAAAACAAGAGGGAACAGGGAGCTTACAATCTACATTTGCACTTGTGCGTTTATTTTAATGGATTGCCCTGCACAGGACAAAATGTGGTAGAGTAGCTCATGCACTTAAGATTCCCATGGTTTATCCATCCAATGTTTTTTCTCAAATCTCCTTGCTGTGTCTGGGGTGCCATTAACAATGAGCATGCAAGAGCAGCACTAAAGCTTTTTGTGAACTCATGCAAAAAACAAAAAAAAAAACCTTGCATAGCTTTGCACGAGTTACATGCTACTACAGTGTGAATGCGTGTGAGCTGTATGTGTGCTGTACTGTGTATACCGATATGTATGAACGGTGTACTGAGCTGTAAGCAAAAAAAAGAAAAAATAAAACAAAGAAAAGGAAAACTGGGGGAAAAAAAAAAAAAGGAATCTGGCTTTTGCAGTGAATCCTAATCAATTACTACAGGCAATATACAGTCTGACTGGAGAGGACTTGCCAACAGTTCATCTCAAAGGCTACTCTAATTAGGGAAACCACAGAAAGCATTTCGGCAGCTTGCACCCACAGTCTTGTTCTCTTTCTGCTCAGGCATTGGTGCACATTGACAGACTGATCATTTTATCCACAATAACTGTCTTCACATTATTGTGGTACAGTTAATACAAGGATGTTCAATTTTTATTGCCCAACACATGTAGTTCCAGTTGTCTGGGCAGGTAATTTTTTTTTTTACTTTTAGCCCTGCTGCAGGCACCCATCAGGTGGAAGCATTCGAATGGCTGCGCTGCTGCCCGATTGCTTCCACACAGCCCACTATGGTGCCAGCCTCCGCCCCCCGCATGCTACATGTCCCGGGCTCTGCTTGCCCATCTGCGGGCCAGGGACCAGTTCAGTGGCTGCCGGCGGGTAGGGGGGAGAGCGAACACATCTGCTCCGAGTCCCTTCTTGTCCTGACCTGGAAGTGATATGACATCATTTCCGGGTCCCCGTTGACAGATTACATTTGGTGGAGCACAGGAGAGACATGCAGCACGTCTCAAAACAAACAAAAAAAACCCTGTTAAAAATCATCACATAGGGGACTTTTTATCCCCTATGTGATCAAATATATAATTTTATAAATATATAATTTTTTTTTTTATTAAAAAAAAGTTATACCCAAGCATATATCCCCCCCAAAATTTGTCATGCCCCCCCCACATATGTATGCATGTACAAACATAAAAGCACACGCTGGGGCGCCTACACATGAAAACAACAATTGCGATACACGTTACATATCGCCACGCACGCCATAATGAAAGCAATAAATTCTAGCACCAGACCTCCTCCATAACGCTAAACTGGTGACCTATAAGGGGCTTTAAAAGCTTCACCTATAGAAGATAGGAGGGTTACTAAAGTTTGCCATTTCACGAATTTAAGTTTTGACATGTTGGATATCTATTTACGCGATGCAACCTCGTCTTTTATATTTCACAAAAAAATTGGATAATTTATTGCTTTTTGTGCCCCATAACTAACTTGTGTATTTTTTACTGAAACTTTGTGGATAAGATCGTGTGACATAAAAAAATTGGAACTACTGCTATTTTATTCTCTAGGGCAGGAGTTCTCAAACTATGGCCCGCAGGCCAGATACAGCCTGCCAAAGACACTTACCAGGCTGGATGGGGGGAAAAGAAAAAAAAAAAAAAAAAACACGCCGGCCAGCAAACAGCTAGGCTGCTCACTGGGTCCTCAGCCATGAGGACCCAGAATGTGGCATCCTGGAAGCCCCCGATTTCACTTGCTGCAGCCAGAAGAGCAACATGAGGCTGAGAGCACACCAGGCCCCAGGTACAGTGCATTGTGGTGTGCAGTGCACTACAGGGTACAGTGCATTTTAAATATTGTATTGTTTATTCCTGTTTTTTTTTGTTTTTTTTTTTTAACTACAAAATAAGATATAGAAAATATCTAATGTTTTGGATAATCTTCAGGTACTAAATGATTTTTTTTTTTTAAACGTGTGCAAAAACAAAATGCAAAAATGGCTCCAGCAGCGAAAGGGATAAGGGATAAACCGACACTCCCCTTTCCTGACAAGCACCCAATCCCTGCTCATTACACTGCAAGGTCTCACACTCCTTCCTGCTATTCCCTGGGTGCGGTGCTGGAGACAGGCAGGGAGGGGAGGGAGAGGAGATAAACAGTGTAATGTTACAAATATTAAATGTTTAAGTCGCCATAAAGCCCCTTTTATTTTTAAATCCCCAGACATTACTTACAGAAATATGTAAATACTGTTTTGGTTAAATTTTATTTTTTTTTTAATCAGTACAAGTAGATTGTCATGAGGGACAAGTAGATTGGGACACAGATTTAGTCCCTGGACAAGCATTGTTTTCAAACATTTCCACACCCCTGTAATACATGCCATTCCACAAATTAGGCACATTGGTGTGCTGTGGTACCATTCATTAATGCCGAATTACACCAACATCTTTGCAACAAATCCTGCAAATCAACATATGGCAACAATACCTTGTGTGTCATTACAGAATCAGCAGGTACAACTTTAGATCCATTTTTTTGGTGTGTTAGGAAGGCTGATCAAATGAACTAGCTGCCTTAATAAAAACATGTGCACTAAACACTATCACCAGCTTCTCACAGGGTACGCCAAGAAATATTAAAACCTATAGGAGCCATAGAAACAACCATGTCAGAGAGATTATCTAGACTCCACAGTTAGCTCACCTGTGAGGAATGGACAGGCCTCCATCTACGGCTCCCTTGAGTGCGCCGAAGACTTTGTTTCCAGTGGTGGTCCGGGTGAGACCGGCATCCAGGTAGCAGGTGAAGGCACCAGGTTGCCCATCAATGCTCTCCACATTGTACTCATCTCCAGTAACTTCCACTTGGCCTTCATAGATTTTGTCAAGGCCAAATTTGTTCAGCAGCTAAATGATAAAACAGTTAAAAGGATCATTACCCTTACCTATGCTAAAGACAGTACTGCTATCCAATAGCATCTGTAATATCTAGTTCATAATGATCCACATTATTTTAAATTACAGCATATCTTCCAACAGTTTCTCAACATGAACACCAAACAGATTTTTGTTTTTTTCTCACTAGGGGCATCTTCCCTTCTACATCAATCTCTTCATATGATGAACTGAAAATAATTAAGTTCAGCTAATTAGACAATGCTACTCAGAGGTGGAAATTCACATCTACTACAACTACACTGCTCTGATCTTTTAAAGGTATACAACTCCATATTTAACCACGATTTACCTCCCTTCTTGATCAGGCCATTTTTTTTACGTTATGGAGCTGCATTACTTTAACTGACAATTGCACGGTCATAAAATGCTACACCCAAATAAATTTTCCCATGAAAAGAGCTTTCTTTTGGTGGTATTTGATTGCCTGTGCGGGTTTTTTTTTTTGGCGCAAAAAGACCGACAAAAAAAATACCAATAAGTGTAAATTAATTGGTGTACGTGAAGGTTATAGCATTTATAAATGGCGGTATATATACTGGATTTTTAATTTTTTTTTTTTTATTTTTACTAGTAATGAAACAGCAATCAGCAATTTATAGCAGGACTGCAGTGAGTATTCTGACACCGGAGGGAACTTGAAGTCACTGACACAAATACAGTGATCAGTGTTTATAAAAAAATCACTGACACTGTACTAATGGCACTGGGCAGGAAAGGGTTAACATGTTGGGTGATCAAAGGGGTAACTGTCTGCTGTTTTATATAGTGTGCGTACTTCACTGTAAGTACACTGCTATGCATGGCTCTGCTACGCAAAGCCATGCATAGTGATCGGGAGCTGATAGGGGAGAGAACTATTGTTTACTTACAATTCTCTCCCTCCGTTGGTAAAGATCCTCGATCACTGACTGTCAGCGAGTAATCACTGGCCGCAAATAGTGGCGCGGGGAGGGCACTTGCTCCCTACCAGGAAATGCAAAATCACGTACACACACACGCACGCACACGCACGCACACACACACACACGCGCGCGCGCGCGCCACCCGGTAGCAGTATTAGTAGGGAGGACGGGAGGTGGTTAAATAAGACCCCACCTAGTCATGAACATAATGGGAGGAGATTTAATAAAACTGGTGCACTCAAAATCTGGTACAACTGTGCATAGTAGCCTGCTTGCTTAAGCTTTGGCAAAAAAAAAATAAAAATAAAATAAATACCTGGAAGCTGATTGGTTTCTATGCAGAACTGCACCAGATTTGGCACACTCCAGTTTTAGTAAGAAACCCACTTTGAGTCTATTCACAGTATTGTAGTGCATTGGCGCACGTTAACATGAGGTGCATTAGGTCAGCTAATTCGTTTTCAAAATCAAGTGCACACAATTTTTTACCATACAATTTAACACACTGTCAGGTATTTGGGTGCATTCCAGAATGAAGGGCACGGCATTTCACCAAAGAATGTAATGTGTTGACATTTCTCAGCATTATAGTGTTTAATGGGCCCTAAAGACACATTTCACCTAAACCCCAACTCTCCCTCTACAACTCCCCCCTCCCAGCCAGGTGTGTTCCAGGTGATGGTGACAGCTTCCTCCTGTGCTTACATACTCAGGCCTGAAATCTTCTCCAGTGCTCGGAGGATTTTACAGAGTTACCGCACAGGTGAGACAAGATTTAGGCATGAGCATGTAAACAGCGGAGGTGGCCACTGCTGTAATGGAGGCAAGGTCTAGGCAAGATTAGAGGGCTTGGGTTTTTTTCTTTTTTTCTAATCGTACTTTCAAGTATAAATTGTGCAACCTGAAGACAGACACAAGGAAGCACGGATCTACCAATTAAAGCAAACCAGTCAAAAGGGGAGAAAGTAAAAAAAAAAAAAAAAAAAAAAAAACCCACACTGCAAAATGCAAGAACATCGGTTTAGGGCCAGTTCACGCCACAAAAATGCACTCCAGATCTGTTCTACATGGGTTCCTACATGTGTGGTTTCAATTTGTTTCCAGATACCTTCTTACTTTTTTTCCCCCCCTTTTTTCCACTGCACTGGGTCTGATGCGTGCATGTGTTCTGGGGCATTTTACCGCATTCCAGTGCAGAAAAAAAAAAAAAAAAACAAAAACGTTCTACTTTTTTTCTGAACACCCTGGAACTGACCACACTGGGTGTGAACTATGCCATTGGAAACCATATATCCTACTTGCATGCATTTATTGTTGCAAGAAAAACGAAAAAAAAAAACAAACAAACACTGGACTACATGAGGTTGAACTGACCCCTAGTTGTGATCAGTTTTCTGTTCAGCTACTTTTCAATTTCACTTGTCACTAAACACTTTGAATGGTTGGACGGAAAAAAAAAACAAAAACAACAATCAGGCTCAAAGGAAGTTGTGCCTGCTAACTGTAGGCTCGCACAGTACTACGCTCTAAACAAAGCTAAAGAAACTTCCAGGGAGGCTTTAGGGCCCGTGTTAGCTGCCCACGTATTCTATGAAATATTCCCACAAGACTAGGGGCTCCGACAGGCCATGAGACCCATTCTGCTTGCGTGTTAATGCACCTCAGAGTTGTCCATAGAAGTAGATGCAGCAGCATCTGTTGTACTGAATCAATCTGAAATGCATGCTAGAGTAGGTGCACGGATCCAAAACGCATAGTGTGAGTTCAGAACTGTGCACCTGCTCCAGATGCATTTGACATGTGACCGAGTCTGTGTAGCTGCTTTTTCTGCATCCACTTCTTTGGGCTCAGCACAAACAACTAGTTTTCAGCACCTACTCGAACAAGCCCTAAATTCTAAACTTCTGTAAAAGGCAAAGGAGTAGAAAGTCACACAAGTAGTAAACCAAAAAGATATCGAAATGACACCAAGCAAAGCAGAACAAATGAGTGATAAACAGCAAAAAGAGTCGCTTTAGAGTGGTGCACTGCACTTACCACCACAAGTATTCCAGGCTTTGGGACTTAACGTAGAAGTCAGGGCTTAACCTAACCTCAAATTTGCTCCCATCCCCATTCTAACTCTTATGCCAAGTAGCCTGCAGAGGAGAGATGTCCACTTACCTATTCTAAGGCCTCTCCTCCAGTCATGTGATCTCACCAGCAGCTGGCTTCAGGGGAGAGGAGAGAGCAGCGACAATGGCTGCAATGCCTGGGCAGTACATCACCCATAGATTTACTATGGTGCATTTGCCATTGGCTGTGCCACCTCCCTCTAAAGCAGGTGCTGGGAGCCAATCACGTAAACAGACCATAGCACCCTTAGAATAGGCAAGTATATACATCTTTCCTCTTCAGGCTAGTTGGTATAGGAATAAGAATGGGAGTGTGAGCAGGTTTAAAATTTAAATAGGTTTAGCCCGGACTTCTACATTAAAATTTGTAAGCATCAAAGTTAACTTTGCAAATTTTGGTGAATTTCTGGAAATTAAAAAATGGCAAACATTTTCACCAATACCAAAAAATCACCGCCACACAAATAGTAATATTTTTAGCACATCAGTCTATTTTCAAATATAACGTAAAATCCTTCCATTTGCTCCATCGGCAAACTGGGGTGTCATGCTTGTAGACCCCACTTAGTGGTACAATTTGCTGTTGACAGAAGTTGTTACAAGCACCACTTAAACTGCTTGGCAGTGAGCACATTTCCAAGCAGTGACTAAATACCAGCACTATTACAACAGCTGTCTGGTGGAACCACCAACTGGGTAGAGGGCATGCACTGGAATGGTTCTAGGTTTTCTATTTGTAAATAGAGGATCACCTTAACATGTGGCAGATTTGTATTCACTGTTGATACTACTCAACAACCTGTCATTTGTCAATGTTTGGCAGGGGAAGCCCTTTGGGCCACACTTCTCCTGTGGGTCACAGGAGTGCGCTTAGTTCTGCACTCCTGTGATGCAGTCAGCCAATAGCAGGCAAAGGTCCGCTGTTGACGGACATCGGAGCTGGTCTAGACTATGCAGGGGTCCTGAAAATGTTGGGATCCACCCAGATGCATGACTAGCAGTTGGCTCAGCCTCTCAGCGGGCCACTGAGAGCCTGAGCCAGCTACTCCCGCTCCCTGCAAAGCCCACTGATCTAGTGAATGCTGGAAGGGCAGAGCACAGAGCAGTAACTGACATATACCTCTCAGATCGATGCTGTAGCCATCTAGAGTATATGTTTTTATACCTTGCACTTGTCTTTTAATGTGACAAGTTATTGTCAAGCACCAGCACAAATCTCAAACTGAAATGATAACCAATGGTAATCACCAAATCAAACTCTGGATACATACCCTGCGAGCCAGCAGCAGACCTGTACAATAGGCTGCAGCGTAGTTTGTCAGCCCAACCTTGACACCGAATTTGGGAAGTTCGTGGCCATAGGCAGCACAGACAATCATGTCGCCTTCAATCCTGGCATAGGCAATCTGCAGGAGTCAAGGCAAACAACAGTATAAGGATTTAACAGTAACAGCAATAACATTTCACATTTTTAATGGAAAATAGCATTCACTTACTTGCATGTTGCAGCCAAAAACCTGAAGTGACCTCCAGGAATATACTAGAGTCCCTTTTTCAGTTATGAAAAGTTTACACAGCACCTGGGGCAGTGCTCTATATGGTATTAGCCAAGTGTTTCATCACTTGTGTTTAACCACTTCCTGTCCGGACACTTTTACTCCCTTCCTGTCCAGGGCAATTTTTAGCTTTCAGCGCTATCACACTTTGAATGACAATTGCGCGGTCATGCAACACTGTACCCATATGAATTTACCATTTTTTTGAGACAGATAAAGTTTTATTTTGGTGGTATTTATTCACTACTGGGGGTATTTTTTTTGCTATCTAAATGAAAGTCCAAAAATTTTGCAAAAAAGTGTTTTTCTTATAAAATTTTGCAAATAAATAATCTTTCATCATAAATCTTGGGCAAAATGTACTCCGTTATCTTTATAGTAAAAAAAAAAAGCCAAAATTAGTTTATAACCAAAAGTTATAATTTTTAAACATTTTTTACATATATTATTTATGGGTTTTTTTACATACTGTCACCTAGCAGTACAGTGTCACCATGGTGACACTGTACTACTTGTGGGGGGTGATGAAGATTCTTTTTTTTTTTTCTCTTCAGTGATTGCTTTTACACCCATATAGGATGTAAAAGCAATAATTTCTCTCTCTGCATTCTTGCAGCCATTGAGAAATATTGAGTGAGCTGAGATTGGTCACAGATTTCACACGTAGTAAGCAATGATGTCACAAGTGGCATCTTGCTTACTACTTTGCATGTGATCGCTGATCGGCCTATCAGTGATCACGACCTCGTAGAGGTCCCGTCCGACGATCGGTGTTTCACTGTGTCTGGAGGACACAGCGGTCACTGGACCGCTGTGCTGCGCGCTCCCAGCAAGCTCGCACAGCTAGAAATGGCGGGTGCCGTTTATGAACGGCAACCCGCCCCTGGAGTGCCACCGTCCTGCCGTTTATCAACAGTAGGCGGACGGCAAGTGGTTAAAGGCCAAGTTCACCTTTGGGAACATGTAAGATGTTCCCAATGCTGCAGCTGGCCCCCTCCCTGTGACAGAAGTTCCCCATACTAGCTGTCACTTTAAAAACAACGCAGCCATACGGGGCTCTGCACACAATGTCCATGTCATTCATTCAGTGTTCTGTGAATGAATGAACTACAAGTCCTGACAGCCTTAGCATCTGTGGAGCGCTGTGGTTGTTCATTGAGTTGTCCTGTCAATATATCTGCTTGCCTGTACATCTTGTACGCAGAAGCAGATATTCCGACAGGTCTGCAGGAGACCTGCATGGCACCAGTGATCTGCTAAACGCTGGTGCAATGCTTTACAGGCTCTTGCAACCAAAAATAAATGCACTTTTTCTGCAAAAAAAAGTGTATTTAATATTTTTGGTCAAAAGCTGATGGATGACTGAGGGAAAAATAATGCAGCATTGCAGAGACCTCAGCCTTCATGCACATTTCAGTGAGTTTTATACACATTGCAGTTTGTTGAAAAAAAAAAATAATCTGCATGTGATACTAGTGCTGTGGTATGGACAGGGCACATACAGAACAACTGTATTCTTTGTGCCCTTGCAGAACACATGCAGAGGAACGGATGTCTCTGCACCATGGCATGAATGAGGCCTAAATGTGGCTGTACAGATCCCGTTTAGCCTACAGCAGTGTACACATCTACCATTTCACGGGGCTGATGTTTCTGTGTGGCACCATCGGGAAGGAAGCAGCCCAACAGTAATGGCACAAATTTTAAAAGTGTGTGGGAACAAATCTCAGCAACACTCTTCTAACCCCCAAAAAAAGCTATTAAAAGCTTTGAGGACATTTCAGAAAGTTACTAATCCTCCCAAAGGAAAGTCTCTGCCCCGTGTTACAGAACATCTAAAAGAAGTGATCACACTAAGCTTAGCTACACCAACTAGGATCTCCAATCCTGGAGAGACCAGACTCCTATGCACCCCATGAGTACATACCTGGCAGATGATGTCTCTGTTAGTGACACGCACAATCATCCTGTATTTGGGGGTGTTGTACTTGTTTTTGTCCTGGATGACCAGTCTCTTGCGGGCATAGTAGTCGGTTTTGCCCTCTGAAAAAGAAACGATTCATCAATTGAACATGCCCACAAGGAGAACCCCACTGGCCAACAAAGCAAGACCTCTACTCACCTCTCCTTCTGCGGAATTTAACCTGGTACCTCTTGAAATAAGCCTTGTTCTTCACAACTTTTACGAACCCCTGTGAAAACAGAACAATTGGAACCTTCAGAAAAGCTTTTTCACTATAAACAAACATCCCTCACCTTTAGGTGTATATGGGTTACAACCTCTGTCAGGATTTTTTGTGTCCCTGCAAAAGCTTCTCCCCTCATTTTTCATGATGTCCAGTTTCCCTGAGGACCCCATCACGCCACATGCATTGGGAAGCATTGCCCAACAGGCCCAATGCATAGACAAGGCAATCTGCCTTGCGTCCTTTAGTTCAGCTCACACTAATGTGCTTTTTGGGGTGTGCTTATAAAACTATCTGCAGCTTGCTGTGGTGCAAGTTAAGCTGGCCACAGATGGATCGAATCATGGCTGGTTCATGGACTGGCCTAGATTAGATCAATCTAAGGGCAGGCTGGTTGTACTGAAGACAATCCATAGATCGACTTCGGTACAACCAGCCTGCTGGAAATTTTTATCATGCGATTACTGCCAACGGCTACAGCTGCCAGCAGTGATCACTATGTTCTGCCGGCAGGAAAGGCTCCTCGTCATCAGCAGAACGCAATAGCACAGACTATGTTCATGGAGGACTTAAGTGATTGCATAATCTATGGGCTGCTTTAGATGAAATGTCATTTTGCGATATCTCAAATTCAAGAATGATTCAGATGCTGCATTTTAACAATGTATTACATAGCTCTTTTAACGTACACACCAGAGGACTCGTGTCATGCAGAGCATAGCACATGAGAATGAGCCTCCCCAAGACTGAAGATAGAGCAAATCAACATTTCCAGATGTCACGGGAACAGGAATTGAGGGGAAATCATCCAAAGGAGACCCAGTGACAACCATCTACGCGGATATTCCATTCTTCTGGCAGAACTGTCTTCCTTTTCCAGGACAGGAAGTGAAAGAAAAGCTTCCCAAAGAGACAGACATCAATCAAAGCACCAGGGAATATAATAATTACCAGATCTTTACAAAACAAAAATGGCATTAGATCTACTTTAAAATATAAAGGGACCCCCACACTCCAAAACCTAACTCGGACTTGTGTGATGCACTAGACGTGTGAATAAAGTGATAAACAACAATTATAAACTAGTTGCAACTGAGTGATTATACCTATGTACAAAGATACAACCAAAAACAAAAGGAGAACTGTACTATGTAAAAAATAATGTGACATAATACTCCTGCGATGATTGTGTGTAAAAGCACAAATTATAATGTGCTAATAATCAAGTGCTACTTTAAAGCCCTGTTCACATTGGTGCACTTCTGACGGGCTAAAATACACCTTTGCAGTGTGACAAAAGCCTATGAAAGCTAGTACCCCTTAAATTCTACCTATTCACATCTCTGTGCTGCGTATTTTTCAAGTGCGCTGTGTTGTTGAAACATCCTGCTTGCTGCAACTTTGGTGCCCTGGCACCTTCCATTATAGTCAATGGAAATGCACCATGCAGGTTTTTAAAGTGCAATTTCACCCAAAAGGGGAAAGTTCTTTTGTTTACATTCTCCCCCACCCCCTCCACTGCCACATTTGGCACTTTTTGGACGGGAGGGGGTACCTGGTTTTGACAGGTACCCGCTACCACTTCTGGTCAGATCACCGCGGCGGTCCCCCTTCCTTCCCCACTGAATCCTTGTGGGACACATCACAGGTCCCAGAAATCTTCAGGACCATTTACAAAAATGGCTGTGTGTATAAGCGGGTGCTGCGGCGACCGTCGGCTGGAACTGAACAGATTCGGCAAGAGAGAATGTCACCAGCACACCAAAAGGTCCAAAAGCTTTAATGAACGATCACATAGTGACAGCAAGGCAATGTTTAGGAGTCTTACAGGACCCCTTCATCAGGCATGTCACATGCATGTGATCGTTCATTAAAACTTTTGGACCCATATTGATCCTTGGTGTGCTGGTGACATTCTCCCTTGACGATTCCAAACAATGGTCGCTGCAGCACCCACTTATACACACAGCCATTTTTAACGCAGGAAAGTGTGCGTTTGGATTGTACACTTGCATTTACAAAGTGCAGTGTGACTCGTGCATGCGCAGTAGGAAACCAACTGTGACGCTACAAGGCTTCCCAAGATGCCAGTGCCTAGATACCAGTGCCTGGACCAGACTGAGGAACTGGCTCAGTTGAGGACATTGCTGGATCCCTGGACAGGCAAGTGTCCTTATATATTAAAAGTCAGCAGCTACAGGATTTGTAGCTGCTGACCTAATTTTTTTGGTGAAGACTGGACTTCCTCTAACCCTAGGCTCACATCGTGTGGATGATGCCGCTGCGAATCGGCACGAGAAACGCGGACCCGCGGGCGAGTGCTATTAGTTCTAATGGCACGCCGCCCGCACTGGAAAAACGCAACTGTACTGGAAACCAAGGTTCCCATGCGGGTTGCGTTTTCCAAAGAAGTGCAGGGACTTCTCCACTGCATGTCATGGGCACAGAAGTCCATTCAACTGAATGGACTCCCGTGCCCGTTCAAAACTCGGCCCGCACGGCCGTAGATATGTGAACCAGGGGTCAGTAACCAGTGCCACAACCGCCCTACATAAAGTGCAACGCACAAGGCTGTGGCATGGTGGGGCAGCCAATTTGAGAGTAAAACAGGCAGCGAGGAGGCCTCCGTTTAATCCCTAGTTACAATTGGTGTGTTTGAGTCGCATGTCAATTTTTTCCCCAGGTGAACAGATAAAAATGCATGCGAAATACAATAAATGTTGCATTAAAAGTAGCACAGAAAAAAGTGCTAAAAATGTGATCATTTTTTTAATGCACATCTCTGTCAGGTTTTCCAATGCGTCTGTGTGAATGGGTCCTAACTGAAGGCCTGGCATCCATTGTAAGAGTGACAGGCCGACGCACAGACACAGCAAATCAAAAATCCACGCAGAACAGAAATGCTGCGACACCATTATTAAACCACAGGAGGAATAGTTGGATGTAGTGTACATGCTGGGTGAAGAGGATCAGAAGAATGACATGCATAGGAACACAACACAGGGCCAGGGAGATGTATATAGACCAATATGGAGGCCCACCCCTCCCCCATCCTGTATAGAAGCATGGGTGTCATTAGGACACACTGTACACCACACCTGACCCCAAACATCTCTATCATATGATAGGTGATCAGCCAATACAGCCCATCATAGGAGGTGGTGGGGACAGCAGAGGGTCCAGTTGTGTACAATATAAAAGAATTCCCTCCAGACACACACAGACATAGGAAGCCTGGCAGAGGGGCACACATGTGACCAGGCATTGGTAGGAGGGAGGCAGGCAGCCGGCAGGCCCAGCACCGCAGCAGCCATTAGGCCACGCTGGAAGCCGCTCAGACTCTCCCACAATCTAAACCCATCCGAACTCCTATGGCCGTGCCAGCGCCTCCTGCTCGCCGCGCCCGCTGAGGGGAACACCGAGCTATGCATTGCCGGTGATATGAAGCCGCTTTACTGACCATTTTGCCGGATTTTGTCCCGTCGAGGCTAGGACCGGAGAGTCACAGCGCTCACGTAGGGGCGCTGGAGAACTGGGAAAAGGCCGTGCGCAGTGCGCATGCTCGGTATGTAGGCTGCCGCGCAGCCGACTGGGAAGTTTTCTAAAACAAGAGTAGCTGCCCGGTGTGAGTGAGAGGTGTGCGGATACGAGAGTGCTTCCCTCTGCTGGCAGATGCAGCGCATAGCTGACCGTCCTGTGTAGTGCACTGACACTACACAGGACGGTCAGCTGAATGAAAGAGCATTCTAAAGAATTTATAATAGCAAATGGCCGTTTTGGTATCAAAAAAGAGCAATTTATCTTCTTTATTTCAGGTACTTGTATAGCACTGTCAATTTATAAAGTGCTTTACATATACATTAGTCCCTAACCCTCAAGGGGTGTACAATCTAAGTGGGGATAGTGGTGGCCAGGGGTGGACTGACCATTTGGAAACTCGGGCACTGCCCGAGGGCCTGGGGTCAGTAGAGGGCCCCATGACATGCCCCTGGTACCTTTTTCATAGGCTTTTTTGAGTTTGGGCAAGGACACAGGGGCCCCATGATCCCCTATTGCCCGGGGCCCCATGAATTGTCAGTCCACTCCTGGTGGTGGCATCCTAGAAAGATAGTGTATATTGCCTTCTTTTTGTGTCAACAATTCCACAAGTCCATTGTTATTTGCCAGAGATCTCTTTTCTTGTAGTTTATTAATAGAGTACATGGAGGTCTATATGTGTGTTTAGCATGTGCCCATGTTCCCTAATATGCATGATTTAGGAGTACTAATAGCACTTTTGGCCCTGGGACTATGGAGTTCTTCTTTATGCTATAAAATTCCTCTTGTTAGTCCTGTCCTCAGGATTGAGAGAGGAGCAGAGCCCCAAAACGCATAGACCTCCCAGTGTCCACACAGACTGTTGCATGTGAGCGCTGCACTTGGTCCAAATACATGAAAGTAGGTGCTGCTTCCTCCCAGTGTTATAATGTCGCTCTATCACCAATGCTCTGGCAGAGGCAGCTGACTCCTCATCCACACAATCCGTATAAGAAAAAGAAAAGCCGCCACTCTGGTGTATACTCTGCAATCTTGTGTTTTTTGGCAGGGAACAAATGACAGCCACAAATGTCAATGCGTTTCAGCCAAAGTGGCCTCCTTCATGACTAACACATACTCTAAAAACATTGCTTAAATAGTGCACATTGATTAAGGATGTAATTAAAGGATAAGTTCACCTCTTGGACAAAAATAATAAATGCACATTTTTTTGCAGGTAAAAAAATGTGCATTTATTACTTTTGTATACAGGAGCCTGGAAAGCATTGCACCAGCGATCAGTAGATCGCTGATGCAGTTCAGGACTCCGGCAGACCTGTCAGAATATTTGCTTGCTGTACGGGACGTATGGTCAAGCAGATATTCTGACAGGAAGCTTCAATGAACTACGTATGTGGATCCAGCACAGGGTTCATTCTCCAGGTACCATCATCCCAAAGGCTAAGTACCATAAATATGTTCCCCTGCAATTTGTACTGGGACTAAGGCAACTCGAAACAAGTGATATAAACGTGTGAAAAGTTTTATTACAAAATTGTTGTGAAACATCATAGTTTGACAAATTGTACAGACATTAAAATCATACATAGAAAAAATGGCAAAAATGCCTATAAACTTGCTGAAGGCTGAGAATTGTTGTTCACCCTCTTCTGTGAGCCAAGAGAAGGAGAGGGGCGAGTAAGTTTCAGACTCATTTCAGAACAAAGACTTTCTTCAGGGGTAAGCTGAAGAAGAAGGATGGCTAAGAAACATTCTATAGAATACAGTAGACATAGGTAAGAATTTACAAAAACATCACTAAAAATCACAAAGTCAAAAAATATGTTCTACATACCATCCAATTTTCTTTTATAATTTAACTCGCCATGATTGTAGAAAAAGAAAAGGATAGTCTTCTATTAATGTGCTCACCATCGACACCTCAGTGCACCAGGGCTTGATGGAAAATGGCTCAGGAGGGAGGGAGAAAGGTCAACCCCCCCAAGTGAATTTCTCATACTGGGATCACCACAATTAGGACATCGAAACCACTTGAAAGGCTGAAAAGCCAAGAATGGATCCAAATATCAAATAAGTAAAAAAATAAAGAAATTTCTTATATGTGGGCAAAAGCAGAAAAGGAGTAAATTTTGGCATATCAGCACAGAGAACTTTCAATGGTGAAAACACACACACAACTATATATATATTAATATATAATATTAACCAGGCAGTACAAATTCTGTCAAAATCTAGACACGATACCAAATGGGCTACATATAGATATAGGTATATATAGGGATTTATTGTTACTGGGACAAAAATCTTTTTGGAAAAACACTGAAGGTCAATGATAACCCAAAGCATAATTTAGTGCCAGGGGTGCACCGCATAAAGCCAATAAATGAATTACAGCAGGTGGCTTTTTCAGTTCCCCATCAACCCCTCCCAAGTGGATCAGTTGTTTATGGTCTTAGATTGTAAGCTCCAAGGAGCAGGGCCCTCCTAACCCTCTTGTACTGAACTGTATTGTTGCTGTATTGTCTCCCTTTATATTGTAAAGCGCTGAGCAACTGTTGGCGCTATATAAATCTTGTATTATAATAAATAATAATAAATGGTGTACAACAGGAAGACAATGTGATAGAAACCCTTTCTTACCTAGATCCAGAAGTAAATCTCATAAAGTGAGCTCATCATAGTGCAGCAGCCTGTGCATCACGAAGTCTACTGTGTATTACATGGATCAAGATTTAAATATGGCATCAGAACGCCCGCGCATGCGCAGTGTGTTCCATGGACCACATATGTGTGGTTCCTTTGTCATGGCGATCCCCTGAAACGTCCACGCCATCCCGTCTCCTTCTTCTTCAGCTTACCCCTGAAGAAAGCCTTTGTTCTGAAACGTCAGATTTTTTCAGCTGAAGCTTGCTCGCCCCTCTCCTTCTCTTGGCTCACAGAAGAGGGTGAACAACAATTTTCAGCCTACAGCAAGTTTATAGGCATTTTTGCCATTTTTTTCTAGGTATGATTTTAATGTCTGTCCAATTTGTCAAACTATGATGTTTCACAACAATTTTGTAATAAAACTGTTCACATGTTTATATCACTTATTTCGAGTTGCCTTAAAAGTCCCAGTACAAATTGCTGGGGAACATATTTATGGTACAATGAACTACCATGGTACTCCACAGCGCTGTGGTAGTTAATTGAAAACTACAAGCCCACAGCCACTAAGGCTGTCGGGACTTGTAGGCACTCATTCACAGAACTCTGTGAATGGGTGATGCGGCTGTGTGGGCGGAGACCCGCACGGCCACGCTGTTTTCAAATTTGACAGATAGTACAGGGAAACTTCTCCCCATATTATCTGTCACAGGAAGGGAGGGGGGGCGTCAGGCGTGGCTTCAGCTATGGGAACGTGTTACATGTTTCACCTTAAAAATGGGTGGAATATATAATTTGTTCCCAAAAGTGAACGTATCCTTTAAATACATATGAGCTCAATAAACTGCATACAAATAGACACATTGGTAAGACATATAACAAAAAAGAGAGCACTGCACTTGTCTTCTCCTGCGAAGGCCCGGTGTCTCATTGCTGGCCTCTCCAGTCTGACAGCTGCAGGAAGCCTAGAGTGACTGTGCTCCCTTCTACCCTATGCTTGCTCTGCTGTTTCACATCTTAGTAGGGTTCCTGTGTGTACACTTTGACGTACACACGATGAGAATATCGGACAAACGATCGTCCGTTTTTGTTTTTTTTGCATGCTAGTCTCATATCAAAAGTGAAGAACTAAAGTTGCAAAAATTCTTGTCTGACAGAATAAAAATTCAAAAATGATGTAATGGATTGTATGGTATTGTATTTTCAGACGAAAACTGTTCTGATTAAACAAAGATTGTACAATCTGGTATCATATGAGAAAAAGTTTTGTGCTAGGTCCCTTCGAATCATATCAGACGAAAGCTGTGTCTTAAAGCGGAGTTCCACTCACTCTGTAAAAAAATAAAAGTCAGCAGCTACAAAAACTGTAGCTGCTGACTTTTAAAAAACAGCCACTCACCTGTCCCATGATCCCACATTGCCCCCGCCACAGCCCGTTTCACCGGCCGTCCTGTATTCCAGGTGCCGGCATCTTCAGTGTTGGCACCCGGCTGTGACAGCTTGTGGCTTCACAGCTGGGTGCCCACTGCACTTGCGCGAGTAGGGCTGCACTTCCTTAACTGCCCGTCGTCTTCTGGGACCTGTCATGTGTCCCACAAGACTTTGGGGAGAGAGAGTAGGAGGACAACTTCCGCTTCCAATTGCCTAGGCAATCACAGTGGAAGTGGGAGCGGGTACCCGTCAAATTCGGGTACGTGTTCCCCCCCTGCTCCCCAAAAGTGCCAATCCTTAATGGGGAGCGGGGGACCAATGTTTAAAGTGGAACTTCCCCTTTTGGGTGGAACTCCGCTTTAACAATCAGATTATCATACGATTGCTATGAAAGTGGTATTTTTCATGCAGTTTTCTGACCATGTGTACTACGCTTAAGTGGAAAGCTACTGTTTATATCAATAAAGTCACCAATTTTGTCTAACCTGCCCCTCTATGTTTCCTTCGTGTTTGCTCACTAGGGTGCTGACTGTAGCTCTTAGTTCATGTAGCAGGTCAAAGGGATACCCAAGGAAGCTCCACAAAGGTAAGGTTAGGGAAGCCTTTGGTCTGGAGGTTCATGTGGCTGAAGTTAATACAACTGCACTGAAAAGGCAGTGTCCCAGAACCATTAAGCAAAGTGTCCACCATGTCCACCAGTGTCCACCAACGAAGCTGTTCTTGCACTTACTGACAGCCCACACGCTGGTTACAACGTTGGAAGTCTCAGTGCCTGGTGACAGCTCATGTGCTGAGTCACTGCTGTCCCTTTACATGCGGTTCTAATGAGTGCCAGAGGGTAGGGAGAGCTGGAATTTATACCCCAGGCATGATCAGGTGTTCAAAGGATGATGGGAGCCCAGAGCTTTGTGGGGAATGAAGTTAAAAAAGCCCATGCCCATTGCTGATAAAAGTGAGTAAAGGGCACTCCGCTATTAATGCTTGTTTATTATGCTAAGAGCTGCTGACCCTCAGTTACTGCTTTAAGCAAATTTATTTACTCTTTTGTGTATCTTCATGGGCAAATTAACCACTTGCCCTCCTGAGAATTTACCCCCCTTCCTGACCAGACCATTTTTTTTTTTGCGTTATGGCACTGCGTTATTTTAACTGCCAATTGCGCAGTCATGCAATGCTGCACCCAAATTAAATTTACGTCCTTTTTTCCCCACCAAATTATCTTTCTTTCAGTGGTATTTGATCGCTTGTGTGTTTTTTAATTTTTGCGCTATAAAAAAAAAATTACCGTAAATTTTGAGAAAAAAAAAACAATATTTTTGACTTTTTGCTATTAAACATGTCCAGTAAAAAAATCAAATTTCGTCATGAATTGAGGCCAACGTGTATTCTACTACGTCTTTGCTAAAAAATATCCCAATACGTATATATTAAGTTTACGTGAAAGTTATAGCGTTTACAAATGGCGATATATATACTGAAATTTTTTTTTTACTAGTAATGGCGGCGATGAGCGACTTATAGCGGGACTGCGGCGGGCATTTTGACATTGGGGGGAACTGACTTGGTGTCACTGATATCCCAGTGGCAACAAAACAGTGATCAATGCTAAAAAAAAAAAAGCACTGACACTGTACTAATGGCACTGGACAGGAAGGGGTTAACATGAGGGGTGATCAAAGGGTTAACTGTGTGCTGTGTGTGTTTTACTATGGGGCCATGTGTTTGTGCTTCACTGTAAGCACACTGCTATGTATGACTGTGATGTGCACAGCCATCCAAAGCAGTGTGCACGAGCTGACAGGGAGGAGAAATGTTTTGTTTACAAACAGTTCTCCTCCCCATTGGAGATCCTTGGCAATCACCAGGCGCTGGCGAGTAACTTGACAGCTGTGCGCCCCCTACCCGCAAATTCAAAATCACATATATATACTTGATTTTGTGCACCTATGCCGCCCTGTAGCAGTATTTCTGGGGGTGTGAAATTTTAAAAAAAAAAAACTACTTGTTCAAGGGACTAAATCGGTGTCCCAATCTACTTGTCCCTCATGACAATCAATCTACTTGTCCAGATTAAAATAATGAAAAACTTCAACCCTGTTGTCGCCCTTCTTGGCTGACTATTTCAATGAGATACGACAGGGCTCTTTGCCCTCTCCAGACGAGCTTAGAGCTCATGTCTCCATGATTCCTAAAACGACCGATGATGTGCAGGAACACAACAAGCCCATTTCTCTTCTTAATGAAGACCTGAAGATATTGGGCAAGATCCTTAGTCTTCATATCAATAAATATTTGCATAGTCTGGTCCACAGGGAACAAGTAGGTTTCCTCCCTGGGAACGGAAAATCCCGGGATTCTTACTGTCCTTAGACATATATAAAGCCTTTGATTCTCTATCCTGGGAATATCTGTGGTTTGTGCTGTCTCGTTGGGGCTTTGAGGATTCTATTTTTTCTTGGATTCAAGCCTTGTATTCTTCCCCTTCGGCTTCTGTTAAATACGCTGGGTATTTCTCAGATCCTTTTCCTATTTGGTGAGGGACGTGACAGGGCTGCCCCCTGTCCCCGGTGCTCTTTGTCCTGGTGCTTGAGCCGCTGGCTTTAGCGCTCCGGACCGATTGTAATGTGTCGGGTGTTCCATACGCAGGACAGGAGTTCAAGTTGAACCTTTTTGATGATGCCCTCTTGACACTCACTAATCCCCTGATGATGCTTCCAAATTTGCAACTGGTTCTTTTGCTCTTCTCCTTGATTTTGGGTCTCTGTATTCGTTTGGATAAGGCTGTAACTCTCAATATTACTTTGGCTTCAGATTTGGTTTCATGTCCACAGTCCTACTTACCTTACACATGGACTTCCTCTTATCTTGAATACCTAGGCATTCGCTTGACCCCTAACTATGACTCGTGTTTGCTGCAAATTATTATCCATTGCTTCGCCCTCTGTCTTCTCTTATGCACTCTTGGCAATTTCCGCAATGTCTTGGATAGAACAGGTTAATTCAGTGAAAATGACCATCTTGCCGAAATTGTTATACTATTTTTGTACCCTCCCAGTGCAGGTTCCTCCTCATTTCTTTCGATTGATTCAGGCGAAGGTTATGCATTTTATCTGGGCTGATAAGCGCCCCAGAGTCTACAGAAATATGCTTTTTGTTCATAGACTCCAGGGTGGTCTTAGGGTGCCTAATGTAACTACAGTAGGTATTATCAGGCGAGCCAGATTGCCCCACTGTCTATGTTGCACGCTTCTTCAGACGTTCCTCTCTGGGTCCTGCTGGAACTACCTAATTGTGCCCCTATTGTGACATCGACGCTTCTATGGCTTCCCCCTGCCCTATGGCACTGAGTCCGATGGCTTACAAGTGTGGGACTCGGTACGTTACTCCAGTGGCCTGATGTCGCCTTTCCTACCTTTATTAACAACCCTCTCTCCCCACCGGGTTTTCATAAGGGGTGTGAATAAGTCCATGAAGTGACGAAACGCATCAAGAAACGTGATGTCGGATGTTACCAGAGGACCGGAAGTAGCAGAGCGGCCATTTTGAAAGTTGGAATAACATACCTGATGTTCCTGGAAGCTGCTTCAAGGTTTGGAGTCATGGGAATAAGGGGTTTTTATGTTGTTTTAATGAAAGAGCAACCAATAAAGTGATTTATAATATTTAAAACTGAATTACACTATATGGGTCTGTTCCTCTTTCCTATGTATACTGTGGAGCATTGGTACAATTGAGTACATGCACTGAGGCTCTGAAGGCATCCATGGAAACAATACTGCATATACCCTCTGCTGGATTAAAGTGTGTTTTAATATTTATTTGGTAAGGGTATTTAATTCAGACACTGTAGAAGTGCACACTGAATGCCACTGGAAATTATTTTTGTATTTTATTTTTGTATTTAATTATTGATTCACAGTGTGATACACTATCACAGTTTTCATAAGTGTTCACGTACTGTATGTAAACACATTTTTATTTGGAGTGAATAGTGCACACATGTTACATTATTTATGATTTATTTTAATAATGGTAATGCACAATTGCGTTTTCCTTGTTTTGAGGTTCATATCTTCTTTGGAGCCATTCGGAGGATCGGAATTTTGAGTGACTTTATTATTTATGGACACTTGGTGATTTATTTTTTAGTAAGACTGGGACTCTATAGACTTCCACTTATAATTTTTTGGAGGATTTATATGTTGAGCACAGAAAAGGGTTTATATATGTATTTAGTAAAAAACAAACAAGAATATTTTAAGGCACAAAAAGGCAATAAATTACCCATTTTTTGGTAAAATATAAAAGATGAGGTACATAGATACCCAACATGTCAAGCCTTACATTTGTGTGTGCTTGTGAAATGGCGACAAACTTTAATACCCTATATTTTCTATAGGTGACACTTTTAAAGTCCCCTATAGGTCATCTATAGGACTGGTTCAGAACTGTCAAGATCTGGCTAGAAAGAAACTAACAACAGTAGTTCCCGGAAACAATGGTTCCTAGCAACCAGTCAGATGTTTGCTCCACTCAGAGTGGTTTCTAGGGCTGAGGGCTCCAGGCATGTGTTAGGTTGTCTTTGTTGAGAGTTTGTACATAACCTCAGTGCTGAATTCTACCTCCCCTGTATCTTGGAGGACTGAATTCAGACTTTGGAGCACATTGTAGCTGTATGATCAGCCAGTCATGCTGAAAAAGACAAATGGCTGGGTTGGCTCTTTATAAGAAGACCAGCCCCAGTGATATCTGAGCACATAAATATGTACACCTGGCCTATAAGAGTATACACATGCTTATATGGGGGCAGCTGATGAGCACATAAACATGCACACTTGGCCAGTAATGGTGTGATTTTTTTAATTGAGGTATCTGATAAGGGCATAAACATATGTACTTGGCCTATATAAGTATGCATGCTTATATAGGGGAATCTGATGAGCACATAAACATGCACATTTGGCTGTTTGTGACTTTCTCTTTGTCGGATTGGGCTGTCTCGTTGCTATATGGGGAGTCCCTTTGCTATATGGGGTTGTCTCGTTACTATATGGGGATGTCTCTTTGCTGGATTTGGCTGTCTCTTTGCAGAATATATGGGGATGACTCTTTACTGAATTTATGGGGATGTCTCTTTGTTGGATTGGGCCATCCATTTGCTGAATATATGGAGATGTATCTTTGCTAGATTGGGCCATCTCTTTGCTGAATATATGGGGATGTATCTTTGTTGGATTGGACCATCTCTTTTCTGAATATATGGGGACGTCTCTTTGCTGGATTGGGCCATCTCTTTGCTGAATATTCAGAGATGTCTCTTTGCTGGATTGGACCATCTCTTTGCTGAATATTTGGGGATGTCTCTTTGCTGGATTGAACCATCTCTTTGCTGAATATATGGAAATGTCTCTTTTCTGAATATATGGGAATGTCACTTTGCTACTCTTTGGCCAAAATATCATTGCTTTCTGTTAAATTGTGAAAGCACTGATAACTTGGAATACACTTTTCATATATTAAGTTGTAAGAGTGTTTAAAAAATAAAAATGGGTGCACTGAAGGACTTGGTGGGATGGCCAGTGGGCGGATTCGAGAGTTGCATTGGTACATCGTGCAACATAAAAAATTTACAGCTACCATCTTTTTGTTTTACAGAAAATATATAATGTGCTGGGGGTTTTAAGTATAGCCATAAATGAAGATTTGAATATGTGCAAAACATTTTTAAAAAGGTTATAGAAAGGCAATGGTTAAGTAAAGTTCCACTTGTGTAGATGTGAGTATACAGTATTCAGAATGTATGTTTTCTGATTTCTCACCTTCCAGCCAGTGTTGTCTGATTCCCCATCTTACACTTGTCCAGTTCCTCGCCTTTTGCCTTTAATAGCTGTTACTGGTTTGTGTGTTCATAGTAAAAAAGCTCCTAACCAATACCATCATACTTTGTGGCCATGAATCAGTTAACAAAGGGATTTCCTTGCTGACAGTATGCATCCTCACAAATTCAATCTCTTATAATGACTGCGTATTGCAACATAATATTACATCTGGATACACTGCTAATTAAATTTCTTAACGTGAACAGGGATGGGGGTGTAATTGCTTTTGGAGGCAATGTATACTGCGGAACTAAAATAAAGCAGAATTATTAAGTAGTTCATTTTGATTATGAGCATGCTAGGACATGATTTGATTTCTGCTCTATTTACTGTAACCTAAAGAAACAATAGAAAAAGATGAACAAAAAAGCAGTCTCCACCAAAGGGGTTTGTACAATAGGAATGTTATTTATACCAGTATTATATTTTAAAGGGAATGTGCTTTCTACATGCAGGGCAAAGCAACAGGTTTACATTACTGTTTGCTTTTTAGCTCTCATCTACATTTTGTACCTTCCCACATTTCTTCCCTTCGTTCCATTGAGCCACTGAAAGAAAAAAGAGAAGAAACCCCCAGTGGATAACTGGAGCTAAGGGACTCTTGCCTCACCCCCATGTGACAGCGCTGAGTGACATCCAGTGAGAAAAGCCCGGACTTTTCAGGAAAAAGTTTCAGTCACATAATTCCAATATTTTTAAACACTGGATTTTGCTCTTTGAACCCACTGGACAAATGGTGTGGTGAAGGAGACTAGGAAAATAATTATAATAATGGTCGAATAAAATTGGCTTTTTAAAATAAATATTTTTTTTACCCAGAAGCAGAAAAGGAAAATATGCCTTTAAGAGTTAGTATAGAGCTGAGCCAATCACAGACAGCCTCACACTGTACAGAGCCTTAACCTAATCCCAGGCCAGTTT